GTATGTATGTATGTATGTATGTATGTATGTATGTATGTATGTATGTATGTATGTATGTATGTATGTAGTAGCGGCTTGTGACGTCGTGTTTGTATGCGCCGGTCTAAACGCCGAAGTGGCCATGTTCTCCTCCGTTCCACAGACCTGGTGTGGCCTATTCAGCTCAGCTTGATGCTGTTGACACCCTGTCTGCACTCCCCCTCCACAGAAGTTGTAGCAATTTCCCTCCTCAGTCTTTGTATTTGGAATGTTCTACAGAATTTCGCGGACAATCTAGTCAGCATCGTTGATTAGACATGCCAGTCTTAGTAACAAACTCGACTAACAACAACAACAGTAACAACAATACCAAAAACAAAAACAACAAAAGCAGCAACATCAATAGCAACAACAACAATAACAACAACAACAGCAACAACAACAACAACAACAACAAAAAACGATGAAGACGACGACTACCACAACAAACCATATTACTTCTCGTCAAAGAGGCTGGCTGGATCTGCCTCTGACGACTTTTGGTTTTGGTACATTCATCTCTCCCACCTCGTCGATTCACTCATTTCACAATGGCAACTTCTAACTTTAGAGACGACCAAGAGAGAAATGTTGACAGTAAACTGGTCATTCTGCAACTGACTGTCATCCGCTTCATTCAGCTCCTGTCACAGTCTCCCTCGTGGCCTGGCAGATGCGCGTCTTTTGTGCTCCGTTCAGTGATTTCATTCGAGACCTGCCATTTTCCCATCTTCTCCTTCCAGCGTCTGCCGGCATGGTTACTCCGGCCTCACGGAATAGCTCCACAAGGAGCGTGAATTGTCGAGTTCGATGAGAGCTGAACTCACGACTGCAGTTCGTGATGATATCATTTGGCCGAGAAAACGAGTAAATCTTGTCGTCAAGCCTTTCCTCGACGGAGCACTTCGATGAGCCAATCCGGGATTCTGGTCCATTTGGTACAATTGACTCACCCCTTTCCCACTCGCTCATGTGGCCAATTTCACATGTTGCAGTTGTCGACTTGCTTTGCTTTATGCTTTCTTTCGACAGCCTCTCCTTTTGGCTGAAAAATACAGCCTCAATCAAGTCATCTTCTTTTTGCCGAGTTCTCTACTTTGGGTCAATCTTCCTCCAATTCTGCTCTCCTACACTTTCCTGTTGCCCAGACGCCTTTGGGTGAGTACATCGAGGCACTCTCCACTCTTGCATTTTCTTCTATCCTCGCCACATGACACAAAGCCTTCTTTGCCCGAAATGCATACGCATCTTTCCGCAGAGTCTCTGCTGCTCCTTGATTGGAATGTTGATGTTTATTCCCTTTTTTCACCTACACGCATCTGCCGGCCGGCGGTTGCAGAATGTTCTGCGACAAATCACCAACCGAGTCAGCTTGTCCAAATGGAAACGTCAACTGTAATCACATGATTGTGTGAAAATCATCACCTCAAACGAAACTGAGTGAATGCATCTCAAATGACAGATCTTTTGTTGGTCTTTATTTCACACAAACCAGCAATCTTCGGCTCTTCTCTTCAACCGATGCTTGCAAGAAGATCCGACACGAAAGCAAACTGTTTACCCGAAAGACTTACAAGTTGTGGAAGCAAATCTCGAATAAGACCATATTTAGTGTCATTTCTGGCGTGGGCAAGCGAAAAGTGGCGTGACTTGATGCAGCTTATTGGCAAGCTCAGGAATCGGATCAGACAGAATGTGGCAAACTCGACCAGAAAATAACGTTACTTCTTGAATAATAACTTTGTCACTGCAAAAGATCCAATGACTCCTTTCAGCCGAGTCTTGCCAAGTCACCACAAGCCTTCTGGGGTGACTATC